GCACTACAGAATAATGTCAAAGACAGTCCTTCAGGTAGAAGGAAAATGACACCAGATAGAAATACACAAAGGAATGAAGAGCTTGGTTGGCTTCAAGGGTGTGTGACCTGTGTGGGTTACACAAGGTCCTGCAAATAGAAGGGCCTTGTGCCAGCTTTAATGTTTTGATGTTACTGGCTAAAAATTTTTAATACTTTTTGAACAAGGGGCCCTATATTTTCATTTTGCACTGGTAGTTGGTCCTGATGAAGAATACTTTGTAGCCCATAGGGGTGGAGGCAGAGACTGGAATGCTGAACTTGGCTCTGAAGATCCAGGCCATATGTTCAGGCATGGAATAGGGAAGAGATGGAGGTGGCTTCTTCAGAGGAAATTTGGAATGTTTTAATTTTAATCACGAGAAGGGTGAATGAACAGATGTCTACTAAAATAAAAAATTTTAAGGTAGCAATTTCTGGGTAATTAGAACACAATTTTCCTTTCTGCACAGAGATAGATCATAAATGGCTATAATCGGAGAGTTTCAGTGCTTTCTGAAGTTCATTTGTTGCAGAGCGTTCAAAACTGTCTCTTCAGGCCAAAATCCCTTGTTTATTGTGTGTGTTTTACTATTTCTGATATCAATACTTTAATAATGCCTGTTCTGTAATATTGACCTGGAGGCACTGCAAGAATGTAAATTACTTTACATGCAAAATAAGAGCTATATTATTTTCAATGGCATTTTAGTGATTAAATGCATTTTATTGTAGTATAATTCTATTTTAGTTTAGGTCAAAGCTCGAAAGTTGAGAGTAGTATAATAAGTGTGGACATGCAAAATATGCTGAAAGGTAGTAGAAATAATAATGTCAGACCTAGACCATCACCACCTGCCAGAACATATATGAAAGGACTAGAAATTAATGTTAAGTGTGTATTTATTTGGGAGACTGTCCATCCTATATGAGGACATATGTCAGGGTGCTTTTCCCCAAACTTGGGCTGGCTGAGAGAAGTTTCAAGAGAATCCCTGGAACAGCTTGCAATTTGGATGCAGGGGTTGGAGTTGGTAGAGTCCAGAAGCTTTACCTGATATATGCCTGGAAAAGTCTAAAGTTCAGGGCTGGTATCTAGCTGTCCTGAAGGGTTGTGGGGAGCCAGCTGTACTGTACATAAGTATAAATGCAATGCTTAAATCCACAGATAATTTATAAAGTTTGCCTACACTTGAATACTCACATCCAGTCATTTAGTTGAAGCCTTTGGCTTTGATTAAAGTTGTTAACATTTGAAGTGTTGACTGATGTAGCCTCCCTGGTGTGGAAATATGAATATTTCTCATTTATTATGTCCCATGGTGAAAGCATAACCTTTTACTTAAAATAATTGGTTTGAAAATGGAATTAGAATATTCATCCTCCTATTCTTCCCCTGCAATTTGTGAATTTAGTAATTATTCTTCTTGGTTATAAGCATAAGTTACCGTTTACCTTTATTCAATATGTACACACACACACACACACACCCCCACACCACACACACACACACACACACACTCATAGAATGCAAGAAAATTAGGAAATAAAGTTATTGCAACTTTAGCAATGAGAGTGGGGTAGATAGAAGTGTGACTTTATAATGCTGATCATGAAATAAAAACATCAAAGCAAGTCTAAATCTGATATTCATAGGATGATAGCTCGACTGCATTTAAAGCAAATAAAGTCACATTACTCAAGAATTAATGAAAAATTAGAAAGTTTCCTTTGAAAATCTCTTAGCACATCTCCAAGTGGTTAGCTTTCCTGGGAAAGCTGCAAATTAAATCCACAACATTGAAAGAATAAAACCTGACAATCCTAAATTAAACAGTCATGTAAATATAGTTTCCAAAGCTATTAGGCAAGAAGCAAATGATTTTCTAATCAATTTACTGTTGGAAAAATAATGCCAGATTATTTTCATGGGGCATGTGAAATAATTTTCATGGGACACATGTGGATATTGCTACCTTAGCAATCTTATTTAGTGCTACCCAAAGGTATTTAAAAAACAACCACTGATGCTGAAGTTATCGTAATCATATCAGCAGCCTATCTCCTCATCCTTCATTCTCTTCCCCTCCACCAGCCGACCTTTGTATCAAATGCAGGCTACACTTGCTCTTCTCTTTTCACTTAACAGAGAACAACAGTTACCGGAGCAATCTGGTTCCCTTAAAACTAGCGACTCATTACAATGATTCAGGATGTGAACTTCCCTAAAAGGCTTTGCTCTAAATCAAGGTGACTGCACAGTCCCTTTTAGGCCAGAAAACAACAAATTATGCGTTCTTAGTATAGGATTATTCAGCCCATATATTATATGAGACTACTTCATATTTGGGTATCTCTCTCATTAGCTGGGATAAACAAAAGTCTTGAATTTGAGATCATTCAAAATCTTTGTGAGCCAAAAGGCATGCACACATTTTGCCTTTTTCTTATTTTAAAACCCAGTAACTCAAAACCATCACATGAACTACCCAGTTCTACTGGGCATACAAATTTTGTTTTCTGATTTCCAAGTCTGAAGGTTCAGATCAACTTTTGTCCATAATTAACATGGACAAAATTAATCTGCTGAGTTAAATGACATGCAAATCCTCACCATCAAGAGTGTGAACTTGCCCATAAAGTTGTCACATGGAAAATTAAATTCAATCAGCTTACTTTAAGGAAAATATACAGAGTTAGTGGTAGACACAGATGGCATGCTCCAGGCCAGAGGATTTTGGCCTCAAGGTCTAAGAGACAGTGACTATGTTTTCAAATTTTGACACAATGCTTGTGACAGGCACTTCTCCCTGTATTGAAGCCAGAAAACTGTTAAGAGCCAATATGGGTGGAAAAGACCAATTTTCTGTCTCAGCTCAAGGCTGATTGGCCTCATGGGTGGTGTTGGATCAGTCCCTAAGCCCTGGCAGTAAAGCCAGGGGCCATCATCCCCATAGTCACTGCAGCTGTCTACAAGGTCTGGCTGCAGTCACTAAACAAGGATCTCTAGGCCACAGGTACCCCCAGCACTGGGGAAAGTGAGTGCCCAAGCTTACATCTTAAACACTAGTTCAGGGCTTTGGATTTTGAGAGACATAGAGCCTCACATTGTAAGTGATCCTTACTTCAGTGAAAACATATAATCGAGTCCTGTTGAAATCCATTCTTTACAATGGGAGATTATTGCTAATGCTAGCTAGGTGAATGATTCATGTGCTACCTATTATAAATATTAATTCTTCAATGGGTAGCAGTGTGATTCAGAAAATGTTACATAGGGATATTTTTCAAGCTATTCCGTTAACTCATTAACTGGGATGCAACTTAAGTTGGAAGCTTGTTTGGTTGATGTATGGAAGGTACCCCTTTAACAAACATCTATGAGTAACCATGTGATGAGCATCAAGTTCTTGACAGAGAATTGAAATCTCAGCCTGATGAGGCCAAAAGGCAATACAGTTTCAGTTAGTTCCATACAGTTAGTTTCATACAGACTGAATGAAACTAACCAAAGGCTTTATGTTAGACAATGAGTCTCTTCTGAAATAATGATAGCTTTTGTGAGGGCATAAGCAGCAAAAAGTTAAGAAAGAGTTACTTATGGCCATAGAATCACATTAATTTGTCTATTTAATGTGACTTTTAGATTCAAGAACAATTTCAATACGATGTTCTAGAAAAGACATTCTTTTTTCAGAAAGACTTTTAAAAGGAAGGAATAATTAGTTACTAATAATAACCATCATTTAAAATAAGCAGTGGCATGTAATGTGTAGAACCTGGACTTTTGGCGAGAAAGTGACATAAGAGTAGAACGGAGCACTTTTGAACCAGCAGAAACGTATTTATTTTATCTCTTAGTTCATGAATGACGGTTTTATTCAGTCATTTACTATAAAACTAAAACTATTTTTAAAAAATTAAGTGATTTCTCATTGTTACTGTTAAAAAGAAATGTGTGCTATGCCAAATATAATTCAAATGCATGACTATTTTATATTTTCATGTAATTCCTTCACTTATGCTAGAAAATAACAAAAGTAAAAATGCAACGAGAAAAGTATCAAAACTATTTATGCAGATTTAGTTGATCTCTTTGGGCTTGACTATGTGGCAACATATGTTGGCCAGTTTTTATATGAAATATATGCTAAGTGTACGAATAAAACAGAGACAACATAAGATTAGACACTAGCTTCAGAAAATAAAATTTTGATAATACAGCAGCCTGTTTAGTAAGAATAAAAGCAGTCTCTTGGAGCGTGGGATTTGTGTATGTGATTAAGAAATAGACAAGGAAACATAATAGAGATAGAAAACTAAAAAAATGATACTTTAAATCTTTAACAGTGAATATGAGCAAAGATCAGAATAAGAACCTATTTATTATCATATCTATATCCTATAACTGAAAAAATTTCCTAAAAAGGAAAACACAAAAAGGCTTGGAAGATTTTCTTGGATAATGCAAAATACCCTGAGAGTTCTCTCTTTACCTCTTAGTTCCCCCACATTAAAACTTCAAAAGACAGTGACTCTGGAGCTTGAGGGAGATCGGTATTTAAACCAGAAGGTGTATCTATAAATCCCCATTGGATATCCAAACAGTTATAAAAAAAGAAAAATAAAATTTAATTTATCAAGGGTTGAATAGTTAAGGTGTCACTAAGAGACCAACTTACATTAATAAGTTCAACCTCCCAGATTTTTTTCAACAGGTCCATCGATGTGTAGCCATTAATTAGAAAGGCTTTGGTGTAGTCGCCCAGTTCAATGGAATCCAGCCACTCAGCTACAGAGGTGGGATGGTAGCCATCATGCCCAATGGGTCTCATCTGTAATGAAGAAAATTACATTAGGATTAAACTGTATACTTTGTGTCCCAACAACAGAATGCAGATTTCTCCTTGAAAATTTATTTGACATGAAGAACAGATCTTTCTGGAGATGGAAATAAGGAAAAAGAAAACACTTTCGGATGTATTTTCACAATTCTAAATCATTAATAATTTTCATGCTGAATTAGTTTTCAAAATATACCCAGAAATTTCCAATTTAGCTGCTAGATTAACTCTATATTTGGAAGAGCTAAACATGTCAAACTTCTGTCATAGACATTATTGGCATTCTGTTGGGTGGAATTAAAAATGATGTCAGTTGAATGGTATTAAATTCGACACGAAGGCACCAGGAAGTGCACTTTCAACATGTAGATGATAATTCTCATATGCACAGCATCAAAGCATGTGAAAATACTGCATGACTTAAACATTCAAAGGGAATTCGTGCTTATGCAAGACATGTATTGGAGGTAGTGCAAACATGCTGGAGAAACATACTGCTGCGGTGAACCAGTAAAGGAGAGGAGGCCTTTGGGTATTTTAAGACCATGTGTTCTGCATCGACTCTACAGTATGTTAGACATGAATAGAGAACTTGCTGGCAGACAGGCATCTATTTTTTGTCAGCTATATACAGATTTTTAAAAAATACTTCAGGAGAACAAAGAAATGTGACAGCAACATAATGTTTCTGAGTTTAAATTGGAGTGTGAAAGTAATTTAAGCAAGAGGAACTTCTGGGTTTAAAATTTTGTATGGATTATTCTGGTCCTTTAGCTTTTATTTGAAATTGTAGCTGAATTTGTGGTTCTTGGTTTTCGAAGTGACTCACTTCTAAAACTTGGGCTGCTTTGCATGCTACGACGTATATCTAATACTTCAGTTATTAAGGGGAGCTGGCACCTCATCAACCTGATGGGGGCCTTCGGTAACATTCACGATGGAAACAGCAATGCTGGGCAAAACGCAACATAGATTTTCCTCTTCCTTCGATTCAAAGAGATAAATATTAATGGAAATCTATATGATGCTGATTTGCGAGCAGAGAAAAGATTAGTCTGGGCATCAGGGATTCAGATTTTAATCTTAAACAAGGTAAGCTTTCTGTCACTGTGCACGGTTCTCATTTTCAAGATTCTCCCTACTCCCTCATTTTAAAGTTACTTTTTCTTTTTTCCTGTTATTCCGCTCCCCATTCTAGTTTCCATTTCAAAGTTTAAATGTTCTCTGTTTTATTTTATTATTTTATTTTTTGAGATGGAGTCTTGCTCTGTTGCCCAGGCTGAAGTGCAGTGGTGTGATCTCAGCTCACTGCAACCTCCACTTCCTGGGTTCAAGCAATTCTCATGCCTCAGCCTCCTTAGCAGCTGGAACTACAGGTGAGTGTCACCATGCCTGGCTAATTTTTGTATTTGTCTCTACTAAGAGACAGAATTTCACTGTGTTGGCCAGGCTGGTCTTGAACTCCTGACCTCAAGTGATTCACCTGCCTTGGCTTCCTCCCAAAGTGCTGCGATTATAGGCCTGAGCCACTGCTCCTGGTCTAAATGTTCCCTATTTTAAAGTTAGAGTGCAACTTATTATTTACATTAGAGTCTGAACTTGGTCAGACTTTTGTACTTCACTTTTACATTGACTGACCCATTTCAGCTGCTCATAAAATGTTTGTTCATGTAACACTTAACTCTGTGTTTATTATGTGGTAGCTACAAATGTAAATGACAACTCAGCATTTGCAGAATGAAAGTTAGTGGCATTCACAAATACCCGGATGTTATGTATGTATAAAATTGGAGGCTAAGACCCAAAAGGGAGGCTCATAGGTATTTGGTACCTTCATATACTATAGAGAATTACAAAAATATTGGGGCTGGGTACATTCTCCAGGCTTTGTTAAAAAGTGGTTGAAATAACTCTGTTAACCTAAATCATCACTCTGGCCCCAGGAATCTTCCTGAGTGCCCCAGTGACATGAAATAAGAAAGAAAGAGAAAAAGGGAAGAAAGTGAGAAACACTAAGGTTGAAGTTAACTGCTTAGTAGGGAGGTCTTGCTATTAGCCCATCCATAAAGCTGACCACCCCAGGAACAGATACTGGGGACAAGCCTAGGGAGGCTTGATGACTGGATTTGGGTCAAAGTCAGTTGTCTCATACCAGAGAACTGTGCAATGGGGTTCCCACAGGTTACCCCCAAGCACTTACACAACACTCTTTTGATGAAGCAATTAGTGGCCATCTGACACACAGAAGGTGCTGATGGTCAGTGTTAGCCAAAGAATCAGGGAACCCACAATAGGACTGCAGATAAAGTATAGGTAAGTATAAAGACGTTTGATTGTCCCTTCAATCCCCCTTTCTTGTCCCAATGCCCTAAAATTTAGAATCGAAAGAGAGAAGTGCCAGTCCTTTGGGGGAAGTCTAAACTTGGGGGAGGGGTAAGGTGGTGAAGAAAATAAAACTGGAGGTTTCAAATAAATTGGAACTGAGTCTTCAACATTTTACGTGGTTGGAAAGTTATTGGATATGTCTGAGATGATATTTATAAATAGTAAAGGGAGGGTCAGTTGAGTTTGGTTGAATAATTGGAAAATAAAAAAATAAAACAACAACCATCACATCAGGATTGCACTGAATGCAGGCTGCTTAGTGGTCTGTATACTCCTGTAAGGCAAGTTCTCCCAGACCAATCTTAAAGAGGTGAGAGGAAGGGAAATATTTGGTGGGACGATGAAAGACAAGGGCAGGGTAGAGAGCACAACTGAAGAGACCTTGGAAATGGGTATGCTGAGGTGTGCAGGGCAGTATTCATCCACCCTCTCATTCAATACATGTTTAATCAATACCTATTCTGATGAATGTTGTGGAAATAGTAGATAACAAAACAGTCATAGTCTCTCCCTCATGGAGATTATAACTCTTAATTAAAATACGTGAACAGATGACCAATAAATTATGAAGGTTCTGCATACCTGAAGAGAGGAAACCATTAGAGCCAAATGCAGTTACAAAATTAACTTGACACATATTTAATGATATGCAGAATAGTTACTGTGCTGCACAATAATTTCTTCCAAAGCAATGATCCCATCTGTTCCTTTATTTCCGTTCCTACTGCCATTACCCTGTTTAGGTTCTCGTTAGTGCTTACAAAAACTAATGCAGTAGCCTTCTACATCGTCTCCCACCTTTGGTCCAGCTTGTATCTTGCTACTACATTAGTCTTCCTAAGAGCCAGACCCTTAAGTGTACCCTTGTATAAAAACCTGTAGTGCTTCCTTCTCGAGAAAAGTCCAAATGTCCTATTCCAGCATTCAAGGCCAATTGAGATCAGCCTAATCTCCCACTCCTCTGCTATTGTGTACCCAATAAATGTAACTAGACACGTGTATGTCTCAACAGTACATTAAATAGCTAGGCATTCCCTGAAAATGACCTGGATAGGACACAGTCATATCTTTGCTAATATAACTTCCCATGCTTGTAATGCTTTTGCTCCTACTTCTGGAGGGATTTCTTCAGGATTGGCTCCTCTTCATGAGCTCTGAGATGCAAATTTCTAACCATTTGTAGGACATCTCACATAAATGTCCTATAGGTGTCACCAACATAAGTCAAAAACAAATTTAACTCCTTCGGTTCAAAAACAGGTTCTCTTCCTCTTTTTTTTTTTTTTTTTTTTCCCCATTTCAGTTAATGGGCAGCTATTACTCCACTGCTCAAGCAGAAGCTTGGGAGTTTTCTTACTTTCCTCTTTCTGTTTACTACCATATCTAATTAGGCCAACAGGGTCTGTCAATTTGATTTCTAAGATGACTCTCAATTCACTTCTCTTCTTCCAAAATGGACTTTGGAATATGACATTCCCAGCAGTGCTACGTATTTGTTGGGTGATCTTTGGCAAGTTACTCTTGGAGCCTGTTTCCTCTTTTTTAGAATAAGCACAATAATATCTACTCCAAGTGTTGTTGTGAAGATTATATGAAATAGGGAGTACAAACTGCCTAGCACATTGATTTGAATATAATAGTTATTCAATAATAACTCTTAGTTCTCTTTTCTCCCCATTGCCCTAAATTGGACCCATGCTTATTTTGAAATTGCATAATATTCTGCCATTGGCTGCTAGTCTTTTCAGCTTTCAATCAAAGCTCTCCTCTCTCATCCCTTCCTACTTCCCCTATTTCCTTCCTTCTTTATCTTGTTTTAGAAGAGGTTTGCATCTGCTAACATCTTTACCCCTCTCCCCTTCAGCTGACAGCTATTTTTTAGAAACATATCTAATGAGGTCACTCAAGTCGATTGAACTGTTTATTCCAATTCTTCGTTCTCTTACTGTATTAGAATTATGCCCCTCTGCCCTGTGCCAAGGGATCGAGATTACGTTTCACTGTGGCTGGAGTTACTTCCCAGTCTCATCAATGCTGGCCAATAGAATGCGTGAAGTGTCAATGCGGTGGTTAGAGATGAGGTCTCTGTGCTCCTGTGTTCTACTAATCTTTCAGTGTTCACATGCTCTCTCATAAGAATAGCAAGTGCTGAGGAGTTGCATAACTCCTGGTTCTAGGAGAAAGATGAAGACTTGTGGAGCAAACCTAAATTTAACCCAAAGCTTGGAATCTACCCTAGCTCGATGGGGCTCAGGAAAGTCCAGCTGAAGTTAGCTGAAGCACAGCAGACCTGTGAGTAAGAAAAAAATATTTTTGTCGTTGTTGCTGTGAACTACTGAAATTTTGATTACAGGGAAAAACTGAATAGAGTCACTCCTTGTTTAAAAACCCTTGGTGTTTATCCATTATGCCTGTGGAATATAACTGAGACCTTTTAATTTATGAATCTATTGGCAAATGCATCTTCATGAGACTGAGAAAGATTAGGGATGCTGAGTAAGCAAACATCAGTATCCTTCCCGAGCTACCTCATTGTCATGCAGAAACTCTACATGCTGCATCTTTTTTTTTTTTTTTTTTTAAGACAGAGTCTCACTCTGTCACCC